AAAACAAAACAAAACAAAACAGTAAGACTGTTGTTTGCATTTTTATTTTCTATCAAGCAAATAACGTTGTTGCACTTGCCCCTTTTCGTCAACGTGATCAATAAAGTGACTGGGAAAAGTGTGATTTTATCACGTGATTGGCCAACAGATGGCGCTGTTGTTACAAGTCTGGTTAGTACATCGGGGAGCGCCAACCTGATCTCGAGGAAAATGTACTCAAGTGCACTTCCGCAGTCACAGTAGAAGTCGAGTCATTGTCCGCAATGAAAAATATGTCCACATGATCTATTGGCGTCCATCAAATTGGACTTGAAATGCTAGCGAAGCCTGCAACAGTATTTCGCTGTTGCTTACCGCAGCAACAAACCCAATGTATGCTAACTCTGTTGTGTGAACGTTGGATGTCATTATCAAAAGAGTTTAATATGCCCGCGGCTTTTGCAGATCATTCTCATTTCTTTTGTGTACAGATAACAAATTGCTCAAAACCGCTTCAAACAAACCACATCCAAAATAGCCCCTGGAAGAAATTCACGAGAGACTGCGCGTATGTGCTGATGAGGACGAGTCGGGCGGGCCCTCCTCTCACTCGCATTCAAAACATTCCACTCCAGAAAAGGTCAGAGGTCACCGTTATGTCGTAGGAGGCGCAACTAACACGCAAACGATATCCCCGCCGCGGAACCAAAAGCGCCTGGCTCTTGTGTTTATTGTTGAGCGTTTCCGAACCTTTGTATCCAGGAATTGTGTGGGATGAATCTCATCTGAGGTGTGACCTGATCCCATGGGGCGCTGGATTTACTGTTAAGAGAGAATGGAGAGTGAAAAGAAAACATCACAGATTGAAAACGGCAGTGTAATTATAGCGCTCTCTTGTGCTGCGATACCTCTGTTTTCTTTACTGGGGTAGATGCGAGGGAAAGGCTTGAATTCATCTGGAGGAGGAAAATCTTCTTTTGGGTGGAACTGGAATTTGGATTCAAAGTCATCTGGATGGAGTGAAGAAGCAACTGCGCTGTCATTTTCAGATACGAAACACGGTGTTTCATTGTACCTTTTGGAAAGATGTGTCTTGTTTGAGATTCATTGCTGGATTATCATGCGGGCGTCTAAGTATTCATGTAAAGTGGATATAAAAAGTCTACACCCCCCCC